GAAAAAGTATCAGTGAAATAGGAGATGGCTGATAATATTGAGAAAAATGCTCAACTCCATTATATTGAGAGATAAAACAGCTGCACATCAACCCGTTTCGCCGAACTTTGCGTCCCACCAGAAAGACAGTAGGTATAGAGATAGTTGGCAGTCTACTTCAGAAAAAATCGAAGGAAATATTTAAGCACGGACACTTCCTTGATTTCTTAAGAGGACTCCAACTCAAATAATTATTTAAATATCCCAAAACTCATGTATATATACAGTTGAATCGTGATATAATATATTTTTAAGTGTTTTCGAACAGATAATCTCACACAGAAATATATTTCTTAATTTTTTTGAGATGATCTTTCCAAAATTATGTGAAATAATGATTTGCATTAGCCTAGATATTTTTTCGAGGAATATTGTCAAACAATTTTTATGATTAACTAAGAAAAATAATGAAATATGAAATTCATTTGGTTTGATGAAAATATTTGTATTTATATAATAATAAAAATAGAGTTTCGATTTGAAAAACTCCACCTCTCTTTGAAAAAAAATATTGCTCCATCTTTCAGAATATCTTCTCATTTTGCTTGAACCCGATCTTTGATTAGGCTAATGCAACTTTTAAATCAAACCTGGCTAAAGGTATTGATTGGAATAATATTGCTTATAGAATAATCCCAGATAACAGAATTGCCAGAAAGTAAGATAAGAGGAGTTCCATACTGCTTTTTCAAAAATAGGAAATATTATGATGACCTAAATGCATATGAAGTTCATTTTATACAAAATCTTTTTCGAGTAGAGATTTTTCATAGACATTTGTCTCGAAAAATTATATTATACATATTCAGAATTTTGTCTAAAAATATACAGGTTTGCCCTGGCCTATATGGGGACGTCCAAAATTCTTTTTAAATGGAACAACACATCAAGGCGTCAGAATCTCCCCATAAGTGCCATATGATTTATTGTAGTTTTTGGACCAGCTTGAACGTTTCCTAACTTCATAAAATAAAAAACTCTCTAAAATTTCAGAAGATAAGAAAAGTTTCATCAAAATTAATAAATATTGGTTCGAACAAGGCAGAAACAGGTTTTTAACTTCGAATGGAAAATCCTGAAAAAATAGTGATTGGTTTCTGATTTTGAGAACTCTGCGGAATCTTCAACTTTCAGAGTATCACAAAAACTATGGTTACTGATAGACGTTGAAAGGTTCAAAGTAGAAATTTTTCAAGATTGTTAAATGACTGTGAAATATTAGTGTTCCTTATTTTGTTTTTTCTTCGGCTAATTTTCATAGCATTATGCATCGTAAAAAATGCCCAATAAAATTGCTCCCAGAATAATTGTTGAAGAAAAAAAATTCCTTTATTTCTTTGCATGTTATATATTTTGGTGAATACTCTTGCTCCCTACTTCAAAGTATTCGTATTATTATCATTATTTTTCAGTTTTTAGGTAACTTAAATGAAATGACAGTTCACAAAGCAGGGATCCGTTAAAAATTAAGGGTAACAATGTAAATGAATTGATTGAATTGAATGTATATGCTGAAACACATTCAAATAAATACATATTTGAGCCGGTCAAGTCGAACATTTTCATGGAAATAATGAAAAGTTCATGACTCGAAAAGTACGGAAAACTCATAAAATTTATAGGGGATGATTCAGTTATTTGCCTATGAAAAAAATCTTGTGAAATTTCGAGTCTTATTTTGTTCAATACATCTTAACCATCATAGCATTTGTATCTGTTTTGGTCAATGACAGTGATCTTTCATATTTATTAGCTTCCGGTCTGATAATCATTATTTTTGTTTTTCGCTAGTGTTTGATTTTGTAGTAAATACTTTTTGTTGCTCTTGAAACATTTTTGTTATTTTTTCCTCTCCTCTTATTGACTCCTTATCGATAATTATCATATTATTTGAGCTTCCCGAATCGTTCAAAATTCATAAAAGGCTGGCTCTGTTATCACGGAATACAGAATATGATAGACAATTGAGAGTGCTCTTATATCAGGCATTCCCTGTTATTAATACAGTTTTATTCAAGAGTGATAATATACTTAGAATTCAAATTTTCAAAATATTCACATCCTTAATTACACAACGAAAAATAAACATTTCATAGAAAAACACTGTGCTTATATACAAGTGTCACATACATATATGTACGTTTATTTTGGAGAGAAGAAGTATACAGTGTGTATATAGTATATATTTATAAAACGTTCTCATCATCTCATAGTAATTAAGTTGATCGATTTATGGAAAATGTGAAGGTGGCTAGTATAGTCGCATAATGAAAAAAAAAACATTTTTCCAGTTACTATTGATTTGATATGGACCTACCAACCAGCCAAAAGTTTTCGGAAACGATTTTCAGAATCGGTATAAGCTGTGTTCTGATTGATAAATAATAGAAAACCAAAACCTTTCTTTCCCATAATTTTTCTCTTCTAAAAAGGTACTCCTTTCAATTTAAACAAGATTCAAATGGCCGATATTTAATCAAAGAAGCCATTGAATGTCATTCCATACTGTCATCGATGACATGAGTAGATTAACTCATGCATGACATAAATTCGTAATTTAATGAAAGAATTGAGTGTATTTTTTCTTATAATAATATCCATATTTGGTACTGAAGAGCTGATAAGGCAAGTGTCTTACGGCGAAACATCGGATGTCTACCAGTGAGGATGACAGTGAAATGTCGGTGAAAGTTTACCTCTTTCATTTACTATATTGTGTAGCAATCCTGTGAATGATATCTGATTCAACTTCATAACGAATGCTTGGAATACAAACTAAGTGGAATTTTTTTTTCTGTTTAATTCAGTGTTCATATAAAAATATTTGCTACGAAAGTATTTTTCTTTCGTGTAAATCAGTAATTTCCAAAATGGTCCAAATGGACCTCCAAGGGTCTACGAGAAACTCGACGGGGTCTACGTTGGGGTGACCAAAAATGGGGGTTCACCATTCGTTAGCGAGGGTCCACGAAAATGAAGACGGTTATACAGGGTGTTTAATAAATAATTGGCAAAAAATTACGGGACAATTCCTGGGATTATTCTAAGGATGTTTTTTTCCTTTGATAATTTTTGGTAGGGCGCTTTGTTTCGAAGATACAGGGCGAAAACGAATTTCGACTATAACAATTTTGATAATTTTAAAATTATTAACGTAGCCCAAATGAAAGTATAGCATTGCTGGACCTACCAAGTAATGAAAAATATAACAATTCCGTTGGTACCTATCAACAATATTCCGATTACTACAAACGGCTGCAGACATTCAATTTACTGGGTGTAACGCAATCAGAAACCATCCTGGTGAATTTGAAAGAGTTCGGAAGATCGGAAGTCGATGAGGAGAAGATTGGATTTTGGCATCGGATTGGAGGGTAGTCATTTTCAACAATTCTCGTAGATTAAGAAACATTACATGTAATTTTTGGTAATAAATTTGTTATTGTTGAAATTCTTCATTGCTCCGTATCTTCGAAACGAAGCACCCTATCAAAAATCATCAAAGGACAAAATATCCTTAGAATAGTCCTTTGAATTTTTGCCGCACGTTTGATAAACACCCTTTATTTTGAAAAGCTCAGCGACTGTTACATGTAAAAACTTGCAAATTCCGTATTCAATACAACGTGTCGAAATTTGCAAAGCGCCGCCACCGTGTTAGGAATCACAAGATAAAAGGTAAGACCTCGTTAATCCTTAGCTCGCACAAGTTTCGACTTCTGTGGGTTGTCATTCGTAGGGGTGCGACAGCTGGTTAACGGAGAAACAGATTTTAAACAGATTTTTCTTAAACCGTCCGCAACGCTTGTTCAGACGTGCACCACTTGTGAGTGCTTGCAATTTTGCGTGAACTTGTTTGACTCTTCATCAATATGAATGCCAAGAATAAACGTTACTCATGTGTTTCCACAATTTCTAGAAGTAAAGTCAAGTGAATGTTTGAATGAATAATACAAGAGAATATACTATTTTTTTTTCATTTTCACCACACCGAATGTGGAGTCTGAATAAAATAAGTGAGAATTGATTGGTTTCTTGTGCGGTGAGTAGATGTCAAAAAAGTCAAGTTGGAAAGAATCACTTTTTTGATTGACTAACTTCACTTTTTTATATCCACTCACAGCACACAGTTTTGTAAATATGGTAGACATGTAGCTGTAGGGAGTCCACCGGAACCAGCAAAATTTTGAAAGTGGTCTATGATGAAAAAAGTTTGGGAACCTCTGGTGTAAATGAATGTTAATGTGAAAGTAGTTGTTTAGACATGGCTTTTTCTTCAAGTTTATGTCTGCCTCAGGGCTAGTACAAGAGTGTCACCAAGATTTAGCCAAAGCCTCGGTAGATAATAACATTATCCTGAGGTGGGTTAAAGGGCACGACAGGAGTGAAGGTAATCGCATTGCCCACTCTTTAGCCAAGGAAGCGTCTGAACTAAGCATTTTAGGACCCAGTGGTACCCACGGCCTGATGACTTCGACAATTGCGGAACAAGTCAAATGTTACACCCATGCTCAACCCTTAAAGAGATGGGATGGAATCAAAGGATGTAATCTTGCCAGGATCACCTTGGGCGACCCTGGGAAGCTGGCGCCGAAGAAATTCTGGCGATGACCAGGACAAATCTTCGCCTAATAGTAGTATTTCTGACTGGCCACTGTCAACTAAGGAAACACCTCCATAATATGGGGTTAGTGGACACACCTCTATGCAGGATGTGTGAAATGGAAGATGAGACTGTCAGGCATGTCCTGTGCGAGTGCCCGGAGTTATCGTCAATAAGAGAGTGTGTGTTCGGCGAGTATTTGCCTACACCTCCCGATATAAAGGAGATGTCTCCCAGTTACCTATCCACCTTCCTGGAAAGGACAGGATGGACGATGACCAAGGAGGACAACTTCTCGGGAGGATGTACAATGTCACATGTGGCCTAAGTGCTGTGGGCTTGCACTCACACTCCCTACTCTACAGATACAGATGTCTGAAAATTACTTCCTTTCTTTTTCAATGAAAAACTATTTCAATCGCTTCATGTAATCGATGTGTCTTTCTAAGGGTGCTACCATTTCACTGTATATTTCTCAATCTGTTCAAGTTTGATAAAAATATGAGAAAGTGTGTGTTGATTCAACAAGGAATGACCCTGCAAAAAAATAAATAGGACACCTTCACATTTTCCATAAAACCAAACATATGAAACACTAGTCTAATGCGACAAAAAGGAGCGGTGCTGCAATCATCATTTGACAGTGGTCGCCTGGATGTGTTTTCCTTTGGGAGGCACTGGCGAGCTGGTCGCGCTTCTTGAAACGCGCGACGCTGAAGTGGGAACGGTCAGTTTGGAATCCGCCGACTTCCAGGTGGACGGCGAACAGCTGGCGAGGCAGTTGTCGTTATTTACTGTCCTGCTGAGGGCGTGGATCGGGATTCGGTAGATTCTCAGTGGTCGAACTTCTGGCGAGGCTTTGAAAAAAAAACTTATTAATATTTTACCTTGTAGCGAATTGAAAATAATTCTATGCAATAGATGTTCGGCTTCTGACCAATAGATAACGTCTTCTACACAAGTATTAATCAGTATGAATTTCTGTTAGGGAAAGTCTATGCATCAACGTGAGATTATTTCTACGATTTTTTGACCACCCCTTTCCCTTGCTAAGATGTCCCCTTGCCGGGGACCTTCAACCGCTTTTAGGATGAGATTCTCATCCAACGCTCTCAGTGCTGTAGTATCGAAGGACTCGACGGTACCACGGGCATCGGATTAGTTATAATAAACGGTCGGAAATTGATATTGTGTTCAGTTTATTCGCTGTTACTATTGTTTTCAGTTTTTGTAGCTGGTTATGATATCCTTAAATTTGGTCTCCATATGAGCGCACGCTTATGATAAAAAAATGGAATTGGCTCTGCACTTCGTTTCGAGGTCACCGAGAACTTTGTGAATTTATGAATGAAAGTAGTGGGAGTGGACTTACCAATTGATTTTTACTATATACCATAAGTATATCGTATTCCATATGGTTAGAAATATATTACTAAAATGCAGCGTGTCGGAGACAAGAACTGTCGTCACAGAATAGTAGAAAATATTCTGTGCTGTCGTGTCAGCGATCGGTAGATTTCCATTGGAGACAGAAAGGTGGAGGGGGTTGTGACGCGTTAAGACACTTCATACAAAACTATACCTATCCATCTATCCATCCAACAAACGAAGTAACCCAAACAAAGATAGATGCGCTATTGGGTGAAATAAACAAGCCACTTCACGCTGGCCAATCAGATTTAAATGTAATCGGCTGGAGGAATTTATGTTACAATATCGGAGTGGTCAGTTACATTTTAACGTATGTGGTGTGTACATTGTACGTATACGGTATTTTACGATTCTGTCTGGGACATCACGTGAAATATGCATGATAATATTTTTAATAACACAATATAATTATTGGCGACTGGCAAGCCGAGCCGGGCGGTCGTCGTGGTGCGCGGCACGTGAGGACTTCGTTCGTTGCCTGGCAACGACAAGTCAAAATCACATTACACGCCGCTTTTCGGCTCAGAAATCGCGCGTTTCACAAAAACATAAATACACGTGATATCTTACCACAACCTTCCTCCCCTTTGTGATATTTCGTGATATTTGCTAAACCCCCCCTTTCAAGCCTCACTTGATTGATGGACGGCCCCCAAGACTCATTATTGTCTATGCAGGAGGTGACATGGGCTTCATATAATTGTCGACTTATATTTAAATCGGGGAATTATCATTCAGAAATGAATTCTGAATCCAGCCCACAACCCAAATTCTAGGAAGGCTAACATGGTGAAGTGGCTGCACGAGAAAAGCATTATGTCCACCCCTAACATGCTCAAACCCAAATTATACGAGTTGATCAAGGTAAGTAGAAAGCATCATATTAGACACAGGTGACGAGGTTCTGCTTGAACAAGGACATAACGTTTTTCGACTTCTGCCTTACCATCCGGATTTGAATCCCATTGAACTCATTGAACCAGAAACAACGTGTCCCAAAAGAATGTAACTTTCAAGTTGCAAGATGTGAGGAAACTGTGGCGGCGCACGAGTTTAATCAAATCACTTCCGTGGAATGACAAAAGAGTTGCCGACATGTGGTAGATGAAGAGCGGAAATATTGGAAAGAATGAAACACTCATAGACGTTCAAACAGAGGTAAGTAAATCCTGTGATTATAAATTCAAATGACGATAGCAGCACAAGCACAAGCAGCAGTGAAGATTAGGAGAATTTGTAGTCAGATAGTGACTTATTGAAGTTTATTTTTTGATAAGTGGATCATTATATAACATTTGAACTCTACTAATACCTATAATAAAATATGAAAAGAACTTTCAAAGAAGTCATGTCCCATTTGCTACCCTAATTAAAACTGATTATAGGAAAGACACTGGCCGGCAAGGGGCTTATCGTAATCCAATACTAATTTAGTTGGGAGAGTCTATACCTGTGTGATCACTTGCCATCAGTCGTGGCATGTACTGTACCTACTTGCAACTAAAAACATCAATGCTAAATCTTCCCCAAACTTTGTTGATTCGATTCATACTCGTAATTATCAGGGCTGCGGTTGGTTCGGTAAATTATGAGGTTTTGGATGAAAAAGAAAATCCGTCGGGATGTGGCATGTACAATATCTCAAACCACTTTGTGAATCCACGGGAGAGGAAGAAGAAATATGAAAGTCAAACGACCGTGGGGCTCCTGACCCAACTGTCTCCGGAAAACAGGTGTAGTGTGTAACCGGTTCAATTTTAACATTCAACAAGAAGTGTTATACCGTCTTCTTCACTATATTTAGTATACTAGGTTGCCTAGCTTCATATTCGTAATGATTTTGCCACACCTCATTGCATCATTTGTCTTGTTCAATGATTGTTGCCAATCGCCCTGGGAACTATGAATCTGGTCAACTGTGATTTATTCGAAGGTATATGAGTTATGGATCATTTTGCCACTTACTCAACAAGACAGTGAAGATTTTCATAATTTTTTTCAACCAATAGAAAAAATAAGTACAGTTCATCCTAGTCCAGCTTATTTACCTTAAAAAGAAATGAAGTCACAGGACAAATATTCTCTTACAAAGTGTCATATAAAAATACTCGTATTTCCGCTATAATTCGCTATAATCCACTATAATTTGATATAGGTTGCTTGGGTTGTTATCCTAACAAAATACGAAATACGAATTTCATTGGTTTAAAATTGTTTGTTTATACCAAATTGTGACTTACCATTTGGACTAGAAGGCGGAGACTTTTGCAAATCCTGTTGTCTCACATCGACGACGAGTCTATCTGTTTTATTCGGAAAGAATTCTGGTGCAGTTGTGGCGAAAAATATATCATTTTTTGAAGCTATGAGCTGCAATTTGGGCATGGTCATTGTGTGTATGAGATTTCCGTTGACTATCAGCCTAATTTCCATTGAATTTTGAGTGAAGGCAATAACATATGGAAATGCACACACTGAAAAAAAGTCTTCATTCATTAAGTTTTCGAAAAATTTTGACTGTGGAAAAAATATTCTCCGTGCCTGAAAGCTAACCAACCACGAAGTCTTGTCTAGCTCGTGGGTACGAATATACCATTGGGGAAATGAAATATAAGGAAACTGTAATTTGATATAATGAATCACTCTTAGAACGTTATGTTGATGGATAAAGGCTGACACCGCATATGTTGAACATGTCGACGGTAAGTGATCATAGTTTCAGGCGCTTCACACCCGGCGTTGCACCTGGTGTTAGGTCAATACCCATCACGCGTCTACTCAAACTGGAAATCAAAGGTTAGGTCTTCAAGCTTGCGGATTTTATTTGGGCCTCTTGCTGAACGGGTTCCATTTTGGTGATAGAGTTGTGATCACCTTGTTTGATGTGGAAAACCAAACCTAGTTCGTCAGCAGTTCGGGAAGCTGTCTCATAAAGAAATGTTCCAATTTATGTTTGCTCATGATTGCGGACCATTCAGATAAGGGTATTCGAATTCCTAATGACTTTACAGACTCCATCTACTATTCTGCCATGTAAACCCTACGGAGATGCATCGTTTTTTGAGTCGATACAGCTCCTACCGAGCTCCAAAGGTGTAGAGTTAGATCGGAATGGCAAGCATATTTGTTGCAGTATATTTGTTTTTACCCGACAGTTCCACTCCAAGTTAAGTAAACGTTTTTTCGGCATCCAGATGGTGTAGGATACTTTCGGCTACAATCTGTACGTCCTGCAATTTCTGCATCGTCCTCTATTGAGATGGAACGTTGCCTATTCGTCTATCCCGAATTCCATAACGATAGCATGCGTGTACTCTTCCATCATTCTCAAGTACTGATGGAGATACTTTTATCAAGAGGTATGAAGTTTAAGGTCATCTATATGAAACAAATGGGTGACCTTATGCCTCTGGTTTCTGGGAGTGCCACCGTTTTACCGTAGAGTCTTTCTGACTGCAACGGATAATGGAAATAGTGAGATGCAGAAAAGAATGGGACAAGGAAATCGCGTCTGAAATATACCCCCTCTGGAAGTGACCCGTTCTGTTTGGACTCTAGTTGTATCGAGTCCTGCGTTATTATTATAGCTTTTTTCTTTGGTCATTCCATCAAATACTCCAATAGGCAGAACAACATTTCAACAAAGTTGTTCAAAAAGAAAAATCTCGACTTTTCATCCGCTTTTAATCCTCTCTCAACAACGAATAATTTCAATCAATTTGGCATTCCCACAACGGAGCGTGTGGCAAGACCTGTGTTTCGTCAACATCGTGAAGTAGGTGGCAATAAAGCACTCTTAGGCCGCATTATGTTGATGGATATGGGCTGCAACCACATATGCTGGACATGCTGACAGCAAATGCAATAGAGTATCAGGTGACCTGCACTTGGTGCATCACGTTACTTCGATAGACTAGGGTGTCAAATATATCATCATGGCAGACCTTGGTGAGCCTCTCAGTTTCCGAATTCAGCCCATTCGACTTAAGAAATCAAATGTCAGGTGCTTTGATAAGCCAAGATCTCCAATGTTGTTGGAGAATACTCCATGCATTGGCTTATCATCCGTATGTTGCCGAAGGAGTGAAGTGGTCTCTGCGACTTTTATGTGAGCTTTTTTCTGAACGGGACACAATTCGGTGAGCACCTCGTTCAGTATAATCACTTCATTCAGTTTCGAAAATTTACCAGAGTTAATCAAACACTCGCGCAGCTGCCCTTAATAGAAATGCTCCAATTTCTGCTCTCTCATGGTCGCGGATCATGAGGATGATAGAATGCGAATTCCTGAAGACTTGAAGACTTTGCATGCCCTATCCAGTACCATTCTGCCATGTAGACACTCCAAACTCAGAAGTCTAGGACCTCCCTTTCGACGAGCCGTGGAACGGATGATTTGGTATGCAAATTCCTATAGAGATGCATCATTTTTCGAGGCTTTATGCCGAGTTGATACATCTCCTCTCGAGTACATTTCACTATTTCAAACGAGTAGAGTAAGATTGGAACGGTAAGCATATCCGTAGTAGAGTAGCAATTTTGTTTCTTCCCGACAGTTTCGATGACCAGATCTGTCAGAGTTTGTGCTTCGGAGAGAGACCTTCATGGCTGTTACTTTTTGTGAGTGGCGTTGTTCCACTCCGAAATAAGGACACGCATCCAGATGGGCAGGATACTGTCTATGAGCTGCATATCCCCTCCGTAATCCGTGCATCGTTCTTTCTTGAGATGGACGTTGCACATTTGTCTATCACGAATCTCATACCGATAGCAAACGTGTAGTCTTCCACCACCCTCAAGGGATGATGAAGATACTTCTCTCCAGAGGCATAGAATTTAGCATCATCCATATAAATCAAATGGGTAGCATCATGCTTTCGGTTTCTGGTGGTACCGTAGTTATACCCTCAAGTGTTTGTGATTGCAACGGATAATGGCAATAGTGAGACCCAAAAAAAGACTGACGGAATCGTTCTGAAATACACTCCTCCTGAAAGTGACTCACTCTGTTCGGACTTTAGCCTGATCAGATGTTATGATGAATCGAGTCCGCCAGAGTGCTATCAGTTATTCAAGGAATCTCATTATTTTGTCGGCTAACGCAAGGCATCTGAGAGAATGCAAGATGAGATCATGGGATGTTGTATTAGTGGTTTGCAGTAATCGATCCAGGCCATGAACACTTTAATTATATTGTATCGAGTTCTGCGTTATTATTTATATTTTTCCCCGCCGTTTTCGCTAAACGAGCCCCATCCTCGCAACCCTGATACATTCAAGAGAGTGCGCCAGGCACTCCTCGTACCGTGGGGTAGGTGATCAATGGGTCCGGGAACCATGTGCCCTAAAAAGATGTAGCGATCCAAGATTGTCAGCCCTCTGCATTCGTTCGGTCAAGATTTCTGCTTTCGTGCTGCAAGCTGGCATGATCTTGAGATTCGAGAATAGAGAGGGAACCAATGCACTAAGGATTCTATCTTTAGCGGTCTGGACGGTAAATCATCACCAATCGATTGATATACATTATTGACCATGTGACAAATTGCACTTTGTGTATGGTTTCATTTTTTCTTAATCCAAATGAAGTCTCTGAAACACTAGAGACAGTGTATCCATTCTCATCTGGGAAAAATATTTCACTAGAATTATACATATGATTAAAATGTGTATCTCAAATATTCAAGAATACATTTAGTGTATTCTTTGAGACGACACCTTGCTTCCACCTTTCAGTCCGTGGTGAAAGTTGAAATAGGGCAATTTACTTATTATTACATCGATTAAATGAAATATACAGAATTATTGAAATATTGAATAAACATTTTTTGTTTAACCTTAATTCATATAATTGTTTTTGATTAGGGTGTATTCGTGGAGTTGAGAATGACTACCTTTCTGTATACTCACCGATATCCGTAGGAACTGAATTCCAGTGGAAGTCGAAGTTTGTCGAAGAAGGGGTTGAACCATTGATTTTTTGGAAATGGCACGTATCTGAAGAAAACATGAATGATTATAGTCAAGCTCACTATATATTGGAAGACCTTGAACACTACAAACAATACGTACGGTTATAGCATAGGAGCAACTGAATCTCCTGGTCTTCATACAGATCCAGGGCGGCAACAAGATGAGCTTTGTTGCTTTCAACGGTGTGCAAATGTTGAGCCTGACCCGTTCTTCCATTCACAATGTCCCAGTGGTTTTTGTATCCAACGCAAACGAGTGTGTCTCCATGCGTTGGAGAATTGGGGCTCCAACCGCTGTCAAGAATGGTGACCATTGTTGGTGTTTCATTGAGATTGAGTTCCTGAAGAAAAAGAAATCCATAGAGACTACAGTTATTGTAGAATTATAACACGGATATTACGTTCATTGAGCTAGAAAAGATTTGGGTGCAAGATTGAGGATTGGGTGAGGATTGACTAACCAGTGAATAACTGTGTAACTGAAAATTTACTGAAGATAACAAACAGTGCGCATTAGATTGGATAAATCCCGTGTGTTGGGCTACCTATCGGGCGCGTCCCCATGTGGTGGATAGGGAAACGGCCAGGGGACTAGAGGCCCTGTCCGGGAAGTCAATGTGGTCTTATGGACAGGGCCGCCAGACTCCTGGTCAGTAGCAGAAATAAGTAGGGTGAGGGGAACTAAAACCCCCCAAAAGCCTTCGCAAAACATGCCACCGTGGACCAGCTTACCCAAGTGAAGGTGTAAGGAATCGTGCTGACAGCTGAATGGCCGTAGGGTGATATGCGGTCACGAACGATTCCCTTGGGGAATGGGCGAAACATCATTGTAATCAACCTACATCTGGTAATACGGAGCTCTGCCAGAGGTAACCAACTCATTTTTTGCTACTCGTGGGAATACGCATGAATGAAACAATTCAAAAATAAAAACAACAAAAACAAAAACCAATCCCAAGGCTGGACAGAAGTGCTCACCCCAATCTACCGCTTGGAATGATGCTACACATAGCAGATCACCTACAACAGCAAGGGCACTTTCTGCGGCGGGCGCCAAGAGCTCCGCCTTGAATAAAAGTAAGGAACCTGCTGCCCCTGCAGGAAAGCTCCCTCACTTGTGCACCTCCACGGAGGGAACCCCAAGAAGGTTGAAGAAGCCGCGCAACGACATTAATATCGCTGCACCTTCCAAAACCTTCGCGGAGGCCACCGTGAGACACCTCAAGGTTGCCAAAAAGAGTGTATGTTCGGCGTGTCTTGGCCTACACCTGCCAATATAAAGGAGATGTCTCCAAGTGACCTGTTCACCTTCCCGGAAGGGACAGCTTGGACGATGACCTCGGGAGGATGTACATTGGGTCACATGTGGCCTAAGTGCTGTGAGTCTATACTCACCCTTTCTACTCTACAGATACCAGATATGAGATAGGTTGGATAAATCAATCGTATTGGTAGATTTTAATCTCGTGAAGTATGTACAAAGTGTTGTGCTTTTACTCACCCACAGAAAAGTGAAACCTTCCACCGTATCAGTATCACTCGAAGGGCACCATGCTGTCCAAGCAGCCGAATGTTTCCATTGGAACATCAAAAGTTTCTTGCCTATACATACACACATTCGTAGTCTCGCTCCTCCTGAAACCAAGAAATATAAGAAGTTGTAGACTAGCTTTTGATACGTAGAATTGGGATTTCTGACGTAAAATATTCTTATGAAGACACCTTTGATACACACTAGAACTAGAATATTGTCTTTCAATGAGCTTTGAACTGAAAAGTTTAAATTCATTTACAGCTCAGTTTTAAAAACCTTGTACTTTGTATCAGTAAGCGCATCATATCTAGAGAGACGTTCGTAGGATGTACTGTGCAGATGATTTCCATGCAAGGTCAAGAGTTCCTCAGGGATCTACCCTGGCGCCACTTCTTTCTATATGATTAATTCATTGTCGGACGTTGGTTATTTCTCTGACTGTAATTTGGAGATATTCAAGAGGATTGGTGATATTTCTGACAAACAAATTTCACAAAGATATTTGGCTTTGGCTTCCTCTCAATATTGATGAATGTTTTCCAATAACACTCAATCATTTCATAAATAATCAACCGTTTCCTAGTAAAGAGAATGTACAAGATCTAGAAATGATATTTGACAATAAGCTGAAACTTGATATATACATAAATAACTCAACTAATTAGGCATAGGCAAAGAAACTGGGAATAGAAATGATGTGGCAAATCATAGACCAATATTATTCATAACAAGCCTGACTAAAGTATTGGAAAATATTGTTAAAGCGATAGTTAACAAATTCCTGGGAAAACATCATTTACTTTCAAAGTCCCAATTCTGTTTTAGAAACCACAAGTCAACTCAAGATGCAATACATTTATTTGCAAACAGTATTTACGAATGCATAGATAAAGGAGAACCAGTAATCGGTATATTTCTATAAGGGATTTTACAAAAATTAAAACATAGTTGACTACAAACTATTATCGGTGAATTTAAAAAAAAACGATTTACTTACCATTCGGTAGCATTGAGACGTCTCTTCCAAACTATGATATAACCAAACAAAATTCATGCGCAATAAGACCAGCAAATGAAATTAAATATTTAGGAATAATGTTGGATCGTTCTTCCAGATGGAAAACTCATATGGACTACTTAACAAAAAAACTGAGGTGTATTTTACATAGGTTTAAAAATTTTGTTGAATTCTTGAATAAAAAACAAAGAGTAATAGTCTATCAAAGTTTGGTAGAATCACATCTGAGCTACGGAATCATAGATTGGGGAGGTGTTTCAAGAACACACTATAATGCAATACAGACCTTGCGAAATAAATTGTTGAAATTACTACTGAATAAAAGCATAGGTATCCCACCGATCAAGTTTTTGTCGAAGCGAAAGTATTAGATATTCGACAGATATATTATATGCAAGTCAATATAACACAACACTCAGAGGTGCATTAAAAGATTGCACACATGTCTATGAAACCAGAAATAAGCAAAAGTATATAACACCAATTATGAACAAATGTATCGGACAGAGAAGTTATTTGTACTAAAGGACTAAATTATACAACACCCTGCCAGATAAAGTAAAAAATGAAAATACACTCAAACGGTTTAAGACTGAAGTTAAAAGTTATGTAATGAGTAGGCCAAGAGGGGAGATACATAAATTGATTGACAATCCTTGATTGAAAATTAACTGATTGGATACATTGATTGTGATGCCATAGTTGTGCACTGATGTTTCTTATCTTATGTGATACAAAATTTACTTTTTTGTTATACATTGAATCACTATATATAACATCTACTGAAATTGTCCAGTCGGCTTTCGTTCGTTACATAATTTTAGATATAAGAAAGCCAATGGGCTTTCGTTCCTTAGATAAGTTTAGATATAAGTACTGATTAACGTTTCATGTATTTTAACTATAGTTTTTATTTTATTCCTCAATTGTCTATCGCCCAGATAGTTTTTGTGGTTTTATATGTGTTTACTGAAGTGTTTTCTATTTTAACTTAGTTAGTTTTTTCTCAACCTCCTGTAAACGTATGACATAATTAATGATCTGGTTTCTATTTCTACATGTATGTAGGAGTGGAAGGAGTTCCTTTGAAAACCTATGGAATGTATTCGTTCCGCAACATCCATTAATGATGAGAAATATCATTTCATGATTTTTAAATTTCTAGCGACACGTCATTTGAAGTCAAATATCTCAGTGACAGAAAGGTCACTCATTAAATCAAAAGTTAATATTGGAATTTTCTTCCCCCAGTTAATTGTATATTCAAATGAAGATAACTTCGCAGCAGGGTACGTTCATCGGAAGATATATCTGCATCACGGTAGGCAATGCATATCAGAAGACAAAACTTAATTGTTTGCCTCGAAAATTGTTCGCCAAGTTCGTAATTCGGTTTTTGCACGCATAGAAGTTCAATCTTGTTTTGGGGTTATAGATCCCGAAGTTTTAATCGAATTTAGAATTTCTCGAGACCTCCCGAATATTTTTCATCGAAGCGAGAACTTCGTCTGCTCCAAACAGGCAACCTAATTAGATTTCAATCGTAATTACCCCGTTCAATTGGATATAATTGCATGAGAGCTGGATGTACAAAGAGAGACACAGAAGTTGAGGGTGGGTGTACGTCCGGCGAGAATTTGCTACGAGTAAGTTGCTCTTGCATCTATGTTGATCACTCGAATCAAAAACTAGTATTTCTAGCTTCAGAGCGCTATTATGATTTGAATGATCGAGGAGGAGTATACAATTAGATAGATAATTTTAATTTATAATAGTCAAGTTCGTACTCAATTTAATTCCCAAGGAATGGCGGAAAGCTATTCTAGTGTTCATTTCAAAGAACCGGAAGACATTCAAAGGAGACAAACCAAAGGAGATGGATGTTTGGGGTGGAGAGTGTTTATTTTTAGATGAAATGTATGTTGATACAGGAACACTGGAACAAGTTTTTGTTTTAGATAATGCGGCATCACCAATTCTCACCTCAATTTTTGTTTTATTCTAGCATTTCATCCTGAGAGTTTAAAGTAGTAGACTAGTTGTATTTTTTATGAAAGAAGGCTAGTGAAATTCGATTCAAAGTTTCTTTCATTTTTGTTCGCTAAATGACAACTTATTTTTAGGAAATTTATATATTGTGGAAACCTATGACGATTGTTAATTTATAAGGCAGAACGTAGAAAATTTTTATTATGAAAAAGTAGATCTTCAAAAATAAAAATCGATCAGTCATGTAAAAATGGATGTGATTCCACCATAGGTTTCCACACTATAGAATTCATTCTGGCTGCGATGTGGAAATGTAATACCTAGCAAAGGCAACGTCTTCTAGTATTAATCCAGTCATTTAAGCTTAAATTAGGTAAGAATCTCGGAATTCGAGATACCCAGCTGTAAGTCTGTAAATACTTGTGTATTGACACCCTAAAAGTTGTCTCAAAACCTACATATGGTAGGGTGTAAGCAACTATTAAATTTCAAGGTCAAAGGTCACAAAAATCGGTTTTTTGCGCTTTTTGAGAGAAAGTATTTTTTCCATTTGCTTTTATTTTAATTTCATAAAGTGGTCTCTTATTATTTTGATTCAGAAATTTAAACGCCAAATTCCGGGCCTCATAATAGTTACGACAGCGCAGGGTCACACCATGCTGGTCAGAAGGTAAGAGTACGGCTAAGCCGAACTCTGAAAACCTGATTCGATCCTCAACGGGACAGGCACAAAGTATATGCTCTGCTGTTTCATCGTTAATGAGGTAGTCGGATAGTCAAGGTGCAAGATTCCCATCTTGATACCCGCGATAACCTTCCCGTATGAGGGTTTTTGCACGTCAGCTACACCTGACGATGCCTTAGATTCAACCGTGCAGGGCTTTTTCGCCTTTGGTTGTGGTGAATCATCACTTGAGCGCAAACGTTTGCAAGGCGGTTTCATAAGGTACCCCGCTCTTGAGAGACCTGGCTCTCCAGCCAGGAGACGACTCTGTCGTTTCTAGGCTGCGCTCGACATTAATCTCTTCTGTAGACTCGCTCCTGATCTAAATTTACAGAGAGGTCAGTTGGAGTCGTAAACTCGACATCCATTTCCTCTGTAGAGTTGGCGTCAGAAAGAATTTTTAAGTTCACTCTGTCCATAAAAGTGCCACGAGTAGCTAGGGAAAGAAAGTTGTGGAATTGGCTGCGGTGGTAGTGCGCCCGACTCACGATCGGAAGACCGTGGGTTCAATTCCTGCCTCGACCAGATAATTTTCTCGGGAGAATTCATCTGGTTGAAGCTGGGATGATTCTGCAACCGTGTTAGGAATCACACGTTAAAAGGTAAGACCTCGTTAGTCCTTAGCTAGCACAAGTTTCTCAACTTCTGAGAATTGTCGTTCGTATGAGGGCGACAGCTGATTAATGGAAAAAAACAGTTTTTTTTTTAACAGAGCCTCGCATTACCGTAACAACACGATGCTACGATGAGAGGGCTCCCGGTATCTCGAAGGTTCCGTGAGGTTAACTGTACATGTGTATTGACCGAAATTTGAATTTTGGGAAGGAGTTATCCGAGAATCTGTATACAGAGTAAATTTAATAATTGAGTCATAGTTAGGCACTGGTCGGAAAGTATCGGTAAAAGCTACGTATTAGTCACTCTCGTATATGATAGGAATTCACAGCGAAGGCATGAAATTTGAGTTTTTCGAAATTTGACTACCATTATTTTTTTTATTTTTGTTTTGTTGTATCATTTTCTTTCTTTGTTGAATACAATAGTTTTTAGATTGAAAGCAGGCTTTTATTTGAAAACCTCCTAGAAATAAGTGTCTGCAAATTCTGAAGATCCATCTCAACTGCAAAAACCTCCAGCCTCCAGCCTGCTGCACGAAGAAGAAATTGCCTCAACATATAAAATATGGACAGCAGCTGGCAAATTAACTTAACAAAACAATCATCGCATAGCGAGAGGGTTATAGACAGTAAATAAGGCGTATCATTACAAGATAAGTGACAAATAAATGAAGAAAGTGCCGGATTATTACACTAGTGACCAACTAAAGTCGTGTTGTTATAATATATAATGGAATTGCTAAAGGAAGAAAG